CAAAAATGATTGGATAGAGAATATCCGAAAGAAAACAGAAGCAAAGTAAAAGAAGTTTACCTTAATGAACCCGATTTAGAAGGAGAATTAGATTTAAGAGAATTTACTTATTATGAAGTTGGCGCAAAAGTATTAATTTCCTTAGCAGTAAATGAAACTAAACTAAACCTAAAAAACTTGCCAAAAAACACTAAGATCATTAGACTGATTCCGGTTCAAGAATATCTCAATAAAGAATATCCCACCCGCCAAGAAAGAGAACAAGTAAAAGCATTGGATGTTAGTGACAAAAACCTTGAAGGGAGTCTTGATCTCTCTGATTTTGTTAGTTTAAAAGAATTAAATTGTCAGTGTAACAAACTAACTTCACTCAATTTAACTAATTGTTTGCAATTAGAGAAAGTCGAGTGTTCCTACAATAAACTAATTAACCTGGACATCAGTAATTGTTTTCCCTTAACCAAACTTAATTGTGACGATAACTTACTAACCAATCTTATTTTACCCGCTAATCTTATTAATTTAAAAGAATTGCGATTAAATGATAACAACTTCCCACTCCAAGATTTATCTTTTTTAAGAGAAGTTACTAATTTAGAAATACTTTGCTTAGGAAATAATATGATAATTAATAATGGAGAAAAAGCCAACCGAGGCATCTACAACCGTTTTATTGGTTCCTTAGATTATTTAAGTGAGATGAAGCGATTAGAAGTTCTTGATATTAGAAATACTGATATAAATGAAGTAGATATAGCACAATTACCGAAAAGTTTGGAGACAATCGTGTATTCAATCGACAAAAGACCAAACTGTCAATTAAAAACTATTATTTCCCAATTAGATAAGGTTAAACATGGTTTTTGTCAAGAATGTTGCCAACCTAACACTTGCCATCAGATAAATTCTACCATTGGCAGCAACTGATGTCAACCTTGTATGTCTCGGCATTTTCAAGAAGAATTTAAGAATTGAACTAGCAACAATCCAGAAATTGACAAATTTATTCGCAACTACCAGTTAAGGGTAGTTAACTGCCGAGAAGTTTTAGAATGAATACCTTATGAGAAATTTGAAAATGTTGAATACTTGGCCAGGGGTGGCTTTGGTTTAGTATATAAAGCTGACTGGACCGACGAAACAATTAAAGGTTGAAACATTAAAGAAAATAAATGGAGAAGACATGAAATCAGTAAATGAGTAATACCAAAAGAAAACACTCCTGTAGTTTTAAAAATTCTAAATAATTCTCGAGACATAAAAAAAGATTTTTTGCAAGAGATCACTAATTATAAATTATTTAACCCTTTATTCACCTCTAAGGGAGTGCCAAGAATAGTGCAGTGTTATGGAATCTCCCAAGACCCCAAAACGAAAAATTATATTATGGTTATTGCTTACATTGCGGGTGGTAATTTACGACAATTTTCACATAAAAATGACAGCGGATTAGATTTCTTTAGATGTAGACTCAGTCAATTAAAAGATATTGCACAAGGGTTAACAGAAATTAATAATCAAGGGTTAGTTCATAAGGACTTTCATTCAGGCAATATATTAAAAAGTAATCAATTTTGTTTAATTACTGACCTTGGGTTGTGTCGACCTGCTGATGAAAAAGATAGTTCCAAAGTTTACGGAGTTCTTCCTTATGTAGCTCCAGAAGTTTTACAAGGGAAACCTTATACCCAAAAATCAGATATTTATTCTTTTGGGATAGTGGCTTATGAGTTGTTTGCTAATGCTAGTCCTTATCTGGACAAAAATTATGACGCTTTTTTGGCTTTGGATGTTGTATGCAATGGATTACGACCTAATTTAGAAAAGTTAAAAATACCTCAGTTACTGAAAGATTTAATTGAAAGGTGTTGAAATGCTAAGCCAGAGAGAAGACCAAGCACCGAGGAGTTAAACACCACTATTGATAGTTGATGTTGAGCAATTATATACTATCCCAGCAAATATGTTCAAACATTATTTTATCAACAGTATCTAGAAATAAAAGATGAGTACGATAACTTTTCCCAAAACTTGGCTTACAAGTCTCATCCTACAGCAATTATGACCAGTAAGTTGATAAATACTCGACAAATTAGTGAATTATTGCGAGAGCATGCTGCTAGTAAGGATCTAGAATTAAGCCTTTTTAGGTCAAACGAAATGACTGATCAAGGGCTCTGAGAACAATCTCCCCTCCAAGTCCAAATCCAAATTAAACAAAATCAAATAATATCTTTACCTGAGACTAGCGAGAAAATTGAACCACAAACTATTAGTTCTGTCGCACTAGAAATAAATAAATCAATAGACGGGCAAAATTGTTCTTTGCAGCAAACCGGAAGATCAAGTTCAATTTTCTATTATCCGGCAAGAACCACCCATGCTTTCTAGAGCCGGGATAAATGATGGTTGAACATACATATTTGCTCTTTGTTGTGGCAAAAGGAAATAATCTAAATACTTCAAACAACCACTAAATTTAGATTTTAATCACAAGTTTCGCAACTTAGCAGTTCTCCCATCTTAGTTGCAGCAAATTTTCTGTTTAAGATACTTTCTTTTTCCCACGGACGAGCACATCTTCCGTCCGGATAAATATCAATTACGGAACTTGGGAGTAAGGACGGCTAACAGGAAAGCCAGTTTCTCAATTCTGACATGATATTCTTTAATTATTACTACCCTTGGGCAGAATTTGGATTTGGGCTTGGAGAGAATCTTCATTAGAAGCTTCTTGGTGCTCTTCCTCTTGGGCAATTTCTACTAATTCTATTTTGCGAGAACCTATTTCAGTTGTTTTTAGAGTTTGCAATTTAGCAGTGATTTCTTCGGTATTTATTAGTTTGCTAGTTAGCACTGCTGTAGAATGTATCTTATAAGGGGTGCTTTGAGATCACTGATTGTACTCAAATGCTATTTCATATTTTTTTTCAAAACCGCTAGGTCACAACTCATGTAACTCTTCAGCCGAAGGTCTTTGCTTATGGTCAGCATCCCAACATCTTTTAATTAAATCTTTCAGTAACTGAGGTATTTTTAGTTTGTCAATATTAGGTCTATGCCCTTGACAAACTTTTAAGGATAAATCCATCCCATCTAAATCAGGATAAGGATAAGAGTTAGAGAATAATTCGTAAGCAATTATTCCAAAAGAATAAATATCTGATTTTTGGGTATAAGGTTTCCCTTGTAAAACTTCTGGAGCTACATAAGGAAGAACTCCGTAAACTTTGGAACTATCTTTTTCATCAGCAGGTCGACACAACCCAAGGTCAGTGATATGGACAAAATCAAGGCTGCTTTCGAGTATATTGCCTGAATGAAAGTCGCGATGAATTAAACCATGGCGGTGAATATGACTTAGCCCAAAGGCAATACCTTTTAATTTTTTTAGTTTGTTGTAAAATTTTAATTCCTTGCCTTCTCGTTGCAAATATTGCCTTAAATTTCCTCCTTTCATGTATTGCATGACTATAACATAGTCCCTAGTAATTGGATCTTGGGAAATACCATAACATGTAACGACATCAAAATTAGTACCAAATTCAGCTAACTTATTATTAGCAACTTCTGTTAAAAAGTCCAGGGAAATATTTTGGGAATTATTTGGAACTTTTAGCACAACATCTTCACCATGTGCTGTTTCCCAAGTTTTGCAACTGGTTCATTTTCTAGTTTCTCCTTCACTCCACCATGCTTTGTATATCCTACTAAAACCGCCTTCGGCTAAATATTTAATGTCTGTAAATTGTTCGTAAGGTATTCATTTTAAACACGATTGCTGTTGAATAAACTTCTCAACTAATTCTTGACCAGTTAGTTGTTTTAAATCTTGCTTTCACTCTTTTTCAGCACAAGGTTGACATCAATTTTTATTTGTATTGAATTGTCGACATTTTTGGCATATTCCATAACTACGCCTATCCAATTGGGGAATAATTTGAGTTAATTTACTATCTGGCCTTCCTATTATAAAATAACTAATTTTCTCTAAACTAAAGGGCAATTTATTTATATCTACTTCATTTATATCAGTGCTACTGATATCAAGTTCTTTCAATTGCTGCATGCCACTTAAATAGTTCAAGGAACCAGTGAATTTATTGTGTGTTAAATTGAGTCTTTCTAAGTTAGCGTAAGGAACTAAAAAGGACAAATCTTGAGGAGGAAAATTATTGTAACCTAAATCTAGAATTTTTAAATTAATAAGATTATTCGGCAAAACGAGGTTTATAAGAGAATTTCTGCTACAGCAAAGACAAGATAAAAAAGAGCAATCTTTGACATCTAGATTAACCAACTGATTGCCGCTGCAATTAAGAATAGTTAAAGAGAGACAATCACTTAGGTGTAAATTAGTTAGTTGATTTCCCATACAATTAAGTCAAGAGAGTTTACTATGGTTAGAAATATCTAGGCTAATTAACTGATTACGATAACAATCAATTTTATCTAATTGTAAGCAGTTAGTGACGTTTAAAGAATTTAATTTATTTTTTCAACAAATTATTTCTCTTAAGTTAGTAAATTCTGAAAGGTCTAATTCTCCCTTCAATCTTGAGGAGTTCAGTTTATTATCTCCGTTAATATCTAATTTTACTATTTGCTCCCTTCTTTCTTTATCTGGATAAAAAATGTCTAAATACTCTTGGGCTAGAGGATTGTTGTTTCTTCATTCCTCATATTCTTTTTCTAGTTCTCCTGGATTAGTTTGTGTGGGTTGATATCCTTTATGTTTCGCATAAGCACCCAAAAAATAATTGCCAGGAACTAAGCCCGCCCTTACTCATTCCCTAACCTGTTCTTTATTGACTCCTGCTTTTTCTCAAGCCCTTCTTAAATTAAGGAAAAAACTTGTGTGAATATCTTTTCATTCATATTTTTCTAACCGCGGAACAATTTGCGTTAATTTACAATCTGGTCTGTATTCAGTTGGATATCAGATGCACTCTAAACTCCTAGGCAGGTTATCAAAATTAACTTCATTGATATCAGTATTACGGACGTCAAGAGTTTTTAATTTCTTCATGTTACTTAAATAGTTTAAAGAACCGGTAAAGCGATTATAAATGCCTTTATTGATTTTTTCTTTATTTCAATTTCCTAAATAAATACTTTCTAAATTAATAACTCCAATCAAAAAAGATAAATCTTGAGTTGGGAAATTATTATTACTTAAGTGTAATTGCTTTAAACTAGTAGAATTATTAGGCAAAATGAGGTTAGTTAGTAAATTATCACCACAATCAATTTCAATCACGTAGGGACAATTGCTAACATTAAGATTAATTAATCTATTACCGGAACACTCAATTTTCCATAACTGCGGACAATTATTCAGATTAAGGGAGGTTATCTTGTTATATCTACAATCTAACTCCTTTAAATTGATAAAATCGATTAAGTTTAGATCCCCTTCTAGACCACTATTTATAATTTTTAAATTTTCTACTTTTGTTTTAACTTCCTTGGTGGGATAGTACTGATTTACGTACGAATGAACACTGACCAACTTAACAATTCTAGCACTCTCTAGTTTATTTTTTATGACTAATTTAGTTTCATCTACGGAAAGAGAAATATAAACATATCACAAATAAGGAAACTTACTCAAATCCAACTCACCTTCTAGATCAGGTGCATTGAGGTAAATTTCCTTTACTTCATTACTTTGTTCCAGCGGATAATTCTTATCTAATCATTCCTGAGCATTTACCATAACTCCAATTTTATATTATTTTTTATTTATTATACAACTTTTTTCTCTTTTAGAGAAGTTAATACTTATAAAAACCTCTCTTCTTAAAGTTAACTTAACACTCGAGCATAAATGAAAATAAGAGGATTCCTTTTGTTAACGGCATTTCTTTGTTTTATCTGCAACCCTAATTGCTCAGCAATTTTTCTCGCAAAAAATACAAAAATTTTTCCTTCTATTTTCTGGATACAAGCCTGAAAGAGAATTTACTAGCATTTTTGTCTAATTTTTTTTGCTCTAAAATTGCTAAAATAAACCTTTTATAATATAGAATAAGAACAAAAAAAATATGATTTTAACTCCTATCAAAAATTTAGTTAGTTGAATTGTTTATTCCGGTTTGGAACAAGAAGCCACTTTAGATAATCAGTGGGTGGTAACTCTGGTTTCAACTCTGATTGTAGTTTTCCTTCTTTATCAACTTCTTAATTTGCTTGTGTGAATTATTAAGTATTTTTTTCGCTTATGACGCAAACAGGTCTTTTCTAGTGGTTAGACCTTAAAGAAACCAACAACAAAATCGAGCAGGAGCACGAGTGAAAACTAACGAAACGCTCAACTCTTAAAATTTCCCGCTCTTATTTATTTTAATTCCGTATAACATGTCCGCCACGCCCATTAAATTTTCCGGTAGTTTCTTAAATACAGAATTATTAAGGGAATTCGTGTGTTTGGCTTGTCAGCAATCCTTAACCGAGGAAGATATTAGCGAGCGAAATTATTCCTTGTACGTGAGTAGTCAGCAAAACCAAATCGTCAAAGAGGAATACGGAACCCAGTCTTTTTACGGGTTGAAATTTTGGTTGCGGACCGTGCAACACAGACGTTGTCAACTTAGGAAATCGCAACCAAGTTTCAACCTGCAAGT